TGTCATATCCATTACGTTTCACTCAATCCAAAGCTCATCAGGCCAACTGGGATACAACAAATACAGTAATGGTCGGAACACTATTTATATAAGCCATTCGATACAGTAACAATTGTTACGACGTGTACGTTAGGATTAGGCGTGATTCTTGGAAATCCCTAAAGGTCTAGTATTTAAAAATGTATTAGGCCTAATTCTAACGTTTTATGACAGATATACTTATAATCATTCTTTGTCGACTTGTAAAAGACGTACACACCATAAAAATTGTTAAATAAAAATTAGTTACAGTAAATAGTCTCAAGCTAATATGTACGCGTTTCTGTGTAAACGTTCTATCATGATAGAATGTTCACCTGTTCAAATAGGTAACACATACACATGTAAAAGCTGGCTTATGGTGGTTAAAATTAACTATAAACTATCAGTTGAAGTATGTAATCTGATGAATTACGGGATACCGCACTAAGGCTTCTACCCGAACATAAAAGTGGGATGTTTACACAATCCTATCCTATGCAGATGTTTATAAAAAAAAAAAACTTTACAGCTACAGCAACCAGCTTGTGTTTCAAACATAAAGAAACCAGCCGATTGCTAAGCTACACTATAATTTGTTGAATAACGATGATAGTATTTGTTCATTTTTTTGCTGTTCGTAATCGATTAATTCTATGTATAACATTGAATGTACATAGACAGTTCCTTGCGTAACGGAAGTGGTGATAATTTACAAAGTAACAGAAAAAATGTAACAAATTCTTCTCAGCCCGTCTTTGTAACTTAGCCGCCCCTACTTTTCAAGTAATAAACTCGAGGGGATGCAGCTAATCAACATCACCCACTGTCAGCTCGCGGGCTAGTCTAAACGAATAGTGGAATGGAATTTGATCGATACTCTTATAACGCCCCCGCAACCATAAACTACAAAGCGCGATTATTTATGGAGGTAAAAGGTCGCGAACCTCGGATCCATGGTTCGGCTCACTAACCACTGTGCCGCGATTAGCCAATACTTTGTACTATACATAACTCGTTTCTTTATCAGACTTATAGATGTTGGAATTTACTTTGTTGTGCAATACACGTTGTCCCAGCTGACTCTA